AGAGAGAGAGAGAGAGAGAGAGAGAGAGAGAGAGAGAGAGCTGCAGTATGCAGCATGTCAGTGGCGGGGAGCACAAGGGCAGGCCCTGGCCTCCAACAAAAAGAAGAAGTAATTTTATCAGAATACAAGAGTTTTTTCTTTTTGAAATCCAAGTAGAAAGGGTACATGTTGTATTCGAATACAACGTGTGCGTTTTCTATTCGAGAAACTCTGCTATTCGAGAAAAGTGGACCCGCACCGTTTAAATTTCGAAAAGGGACTGCGGCCTCCTCGGCCTCCTATGTGCAGCTAACGGTCCTACGTGGTCCTGGACCAAAACCCGTGCGGTCCCACGGGCAGCTACCGGTCCTGCAGTTTCAAATAAGATGCCACCACCCCCTAAACTGCCATACCTTGTTTTTCCAGCCTTCCAACGACCGTATAAAGAACGGCGACGAAAAATGTTCTCAGGGGCATAAAACGCACCCCTGACGGGCTGCGAACAAAAATGCCCACCCTCCCGAACTACCGACGTCGAACGTTGAATTGACGTTGAATGACTCAGGGGCATAAAACGCAACCCTGACAGGCTGCGGACACACACCTGCACACCCACACACACGCACACACGCACACACGCACACCACTCTTGGACTTGTGTATAGCGAACATGACAAACAACATCAACAGACAAACTACGGGTTGCGCACCCATGTGCTCACGGTAAGTCAATATAAAAGGATGCGAACTGTTTCGCAGTATTTGAAAGAACACAGTAGACAGCCTGCAAACTCACACTAGGAGCTATTTTGCAGTATTCAAAAGAACACAGTAAACAGCCCGCAAACTCACAGGTAGGACTTTCCTGGATGCATCCAGGCCCCGGTATCAGTGTGAGTATGCTCTCGGTCGGAGAGTCCTCGTGTTGTGAGAGCACGCTGGACCGTTTTGCCTCAAGCTTCTACAGAGACAGAACCGTGCCAAGGACACTCCACCCACTACTGACAGGAGGATGGCAGACCAATACGTGACCCGACTGCCCCGCTGAGGTAAGCGGGGCGCTGGCACTGCGACGAGCATGCCACAATCCTTCTCCTACCGGGAACAGAATAAACTTGAAAAAGCTTGAAAAAAGGCAATTTCCGGAGAGGAGGGAGGGGGTACGACAAATGGTGCGCAGAAAGTGCGGAGCAAAGAGGAGCTGAAAAGAGGTCTGTGGGGCCACATGTGATGGAGGGGCCAGGTGGCTTCATTTATTTCACAGGGACCTGCTGGTCTGGTCTTGGATTTGTTAGCGTTGGCCAGTTTCAGTCAGGTTGACCCTGGCGGTCGACGGAATCGAACTGAGGGTCGTTCGTCAGCCAACGGAGAGGGCCCCACGCTCTTAGTTTTTTTCCCTCTTCTTTCGCCTTAGCTTCGGCTCAGCCTCTCGCAGCTGCGCCTACCTGCTCGACTTGTCCGGCTTCGCCACGTCTTCCCCCGAACACAACGCACCCTCATTTTTTTTTTTTTTTCCCGAACAACGCACCCTCATTTTGACTGTACCGGGCGGGAAACATACCTTGTATACGTTCATTTTCGTTCATTTTCAGGGTGCGTTATGCTCGGGGGAACCCGGGAGCGCTAGCGATGACCGACTAGATACGTTGTTCTCACTCATCCAGTGAGGTTCTCGTATCGTAGACCAGGCTGCTGAAGGGTCTGCGGGTTGCATTGAAGTTCCTTGGTCTTGGTCCACCTCAGTGGCATGTCTCGAGATGGGCGAATATCACAGACAGAAAGAAGACGCGCGCGCGCGCGCGCGCGAGCCAGGAGGCTAAGGAGAGGGGGAGGCAGAGCGATGGGGTGCAGAGTTGGTTCCCCTCCTGCTCCGGCTTCCAGTCCCATTCCCACCCCGGGCCCGAGCGCCAATTCCTCTCCTCTGTTCTCAAGTGCCACGCGTGTGTTCGCGCGCGTGCGCGGGCTTGTCTTCCTTCCGCTTCTGTTCCCGCGTGTGGTCCACGACGGGGGAAGAGCCTCGGTAGCCTGCCTTCAGGGAGAGGGACAACCGCGTCGTCCACGTTGCCGATGTGGACGGGGGGCGAAGTAGACGGGCCGCAACTACGGGGTTGATGAGCGGAGAGCGGAGAGCTGCGAGGTCGACAATAGTGCGCGCCTCTCAGCCCTCCGACGATTTGTCTCGTGTTCTCTCGTCCTCTCTCTCTCTCCCCGTCCTC